AAAAAAAAAAAAAAAGAGAGAGAGAAGAAAGTAAATTGGTTTACCAGATGAGTCTTCAGGAATCGATGATTTGATTGATTGATTCTGTAAGGGGATGTTGCTTCACTCTGCTCAGCATAATACAATAATAGCTTAAAGACTTTGTATCATCCATCTCCAGAATTTTCTTTCTATTAATCTGTGTGGTTGTGATAATACCACCGAATTGGACACTTTGCTGACCATAATAAATGCATCTTACAATGGCATAGCTGACCATTAAAGGGGGCTGTTATCTGTGTAAAGTCTAGAATATCACCCTTTCTGAAGGGTTATGCATTCTTTTAACAGCTAGTACATCATAACAAAAAAAGCTTTTAAAGAAGTTTACAGGTAACAGTAGACTTTTTTTTCAGTGATGCGAGACTGATGAAAAATTGCACTTAAATCAAAATTGGTGAAAGTCCTAGTGCCAAACTTATTCTATCAGATATGCCTATCTGGAGTAATGTTTTATATGAAGGAATTTAGCTCCATATAACCTGCTAAAACTCCATTTCTGTGGTATGTTGGATGGGCTTTTCCTATAACTTGTATGCATGCAAATAAAGCTATAATTATTGTAGAGAATTTAATTTATTTAACTTTTCTCAGTGAAGCCATAAATTGTGCTTTTTAACTTTTTTTTTTTTTAACTTTAGATTTACAGGATTAAAAGCTGAAGCTCAAAGCACTGCATCAACAAATACAAGCACTCCCCAGCCTGTTAATAATGTGGTCCATTGCTTAGCATCTGCACTGCTTCAAATAGAGCAAGGCATTGAGCGTAGGTTTCTTAAAGCACCACTCGGTAAGTTTCCAGTATCAAAACTGAATACCTTTTTAATTCTTAGATTTTTTGAAGAGTAGCAAAATTGTTCTCCCCTTTTGTGGACAGTTGGTATAGGATTACTAGGACAAAAGAACAGATGTTTAACATCCTTCCTCTTCCCCCAGGATTTGTTATTGCTGTGAATCTGTAAACCACGAGGAATAGTCAAATTTTACTACTTATCTTCTGCTCTTGAGTTGCATGGCTTCTGTTGCATAGTTGGTCAGGAACTGACCAAAAGGGTTGTAAAATGAAGGGTAGAACACAGTTAGGGCAATTTGGTTTAAATCTCCAGCAGTATGTGCTGTTTAATTCAGTTTGTCATAGGCTAGACAAAGGACTAACATATCTGCAAGTAAGTGGAAGAAGCCTAACTTGTTCTTTAGGGGTGTTTATTTCCTAAAAAAAAAAATTAGGGGTTCTAATTAATCAGGCGATTAGTCTAGAAGACTTAGTTGTGCAGTTCTTGTTCTTTATAGTTGAGAAGCTGGTCTTCAGAAAAACACTTGTGGCTCCATCTTTTAGGGCTTACTCTATTTGTGTCTCATATACATTTGAGAGACTATTTTATAGATCATTTAACTTTCACTGGTTCCAGTTCTCACCAGTTCTAATGGATTTATATGATTCTAATGATTATAATCTCTGAAGTGGTGGATCTCCAATGTGTTCCTGGAGAAGTATGTGTATAAATACGTAGGAGTTAGTAATGCATCAGAACCCACTTGAGTGGGCACTGTACAAAACCAAGACCAAAAGACAGTCCCATTTCTAAAGATCTTACGATTTAGTATAAGACGAAGATGACCCAGTGGCTGAACTAGAAGTTTAAAGAACTGCACAAGTAAGTCTTCTAGACCAGCGATTCTCAACTTTTTTCCACCTTGCGTCCCACCAACCATTGGTCTCAAAACCGCTGGTCCCACTATGATAAGTGTGGGGAGGGGGTCCCCAGGTGGCCGGTTGATTGAGCAAACCCAGAAGTGCTGGCGGCAAGCCCACCACTTCTCTGTCCCACTGGCTGAGAGACACTGTTCTAGACTGATCACTTGATTAACTAGCGTCCCTAAAAGTCTTTCTACCCTTTACCCTTTCCACACTTCCTCAGCAGCACCCACATTTTTTTTTTCCACCAGGGCAGTGGCCCCTTGAGTCACTTGACAGTTCAACAGAAATGGTTCCTTGAATGCACTTTGAAGTGGTGACAGAACTGAAGCTTAGTTGTTTGGATTTTCCCTGTATTCCTTTTAAACCTGTACCCTCAAGCAGCTTTTTTGTCTTAAGGTAGTGTTTTGGTTTTATTTTTTCTGGCTAGGTCTGTTTGCAAAAATATGCCGGTTTTGTTTGTAATATGTTAGGTTGGCCAATGTATAGAAGATCTGCAATAAAATTCACTTGTTCATGTCTTGGTCCTTGCCCAGATTTACTACTACAAAAGCATAATATACATTTTTCAGATATAGGTACATGAATGATGGTAGGTAGAGACTGAAATTAATGCATCAACCATTTTATGTTCAGTACTTCTTGAGGCTCTAACTTTTGCTAAGACTTGCCTTCACTAAGGCAGGGGTGGGTAAAATATGGCCTGCAGGCCACATCTGGCCCGCAAGGCCATTCTGTCCGGCCCACGGGGCCCCTAAAAATTTAGAAAATTAATATTTATCTGCCCTTGGTTCTTGTCAAATGATAGGAACCAAGGGCAGTAGGACCCAGGGGAAGCCCGGCAGGCTCCCAGAACAGCAGGGCCTGCCCAGCCCTGCCCTCCAAGCCAGAAGCCCCAGGCTGCCCTGCTTCTGGCCTGGGACCACGTGGATGCTCTGTGCTGGAACCTCAAGTAAGGGGAAAGGGGGTAAGAGGACCCTGGGCAGGGAGGGAGCCCAGGGAAAAGCTGAGCACAGAGGGGGCAGAAAAGCAGCCCCTTGCCCACACTGTGCTCAGTGCCACACATTGCAGCTGCTCACTGCCCATGTGGGGCTGCCTGTGCCTGCTTGGGACAGCCCTGCGTGGGCTGCAAGCGACTATAGCAGGGAGCACGGGCCACAGGCAGGGGAATTGCTGCTTCACCCCCCACCCCTTGCGCTCAGCTTTTCCCCAGGCTCCTTCCCGGCATGGAGGAAAGTGGCCCCTCCACTGCCCCATGGCCGGCACTCCCTGCTGCAGCCGCTTACAGCCCATGTGGGGCTGTCCAGAGTAGGCACAGGCAGCCCCACATGGGCTACAAGTGGCTACAGTGGCTGCTGCTGCCCATCTGGAGTTCGTGAGCTGGGCAGCCCAGAGGCAGCGGTGGCAAACACTGCCCAGTGTGGACTGTGAGTGCCTGCAGCAGGGAGCATCGGCCATAGGGCGGGCAAGGGGCCGCTTTTTCCCTACTAGCGGGGGGGGGGGGCAGCGCACAGTCCCAGCCCCCTGTCTGTACTGCGGAGCTGGGGGGCACTGGGTGTGAGTGGGTGGGGAGCCAGTAGGAGCATGGGGCTTGCACTAGTGTCCTGGGGCCAGTGCTGGCGGGGCCCAGAGCAGAGTGGCAGAAGAGCAGGGTTCCAGCCAACAGAAGCTCTATGGAGCTCCCCCCTCTCCCTGCTAGTTCAGCCCAGCCCAGCTCCACAGACCCTTGCCAGCCTGTGCCCTGCTTTGGGCCCCACCAGTGCTGGCCCTGGGACATTTGGTCCCAAGATGGTGACCAGGGGGCACCTGTCAAGGGTCAGGGCTACCCATGCAGCCCTCAACAGCCTGCCAAAACTGGGTAAGCTGCCCTCTGCCCGAAATAATTGCCTGCTCCTGACCTAAGGTCACATTGCAGCAGTGTTTCTATGCATCACTGAAGGTTGCTATTCTAACTTTCCTTTTGTGTTGGGCATGAATCACGTGAGCTAGGATGACTTCCCCAATACTTTCTCTCCTCCCCTGCCCACCCCCAAATTATTAGTACTGTTAGAAAACCTTAATGAGCATGACATTTCTGCTACTTACTGGAGTTTTATGATAATAAAACTTTGAATACTCTTCTGTCATCCATGGGAAGTGCCTTTTAGTATTTGAGGGCAAAATTTGACTTCAACTATAAGATGCAACTCGCTCGTAGGGAGTGATATACCTAGGCCACGTTACTTTTGTGTCTAATAAACATTTTTTTACTCTTGAATTCAACTGGAACCGATAGACCTGTTCTGTAGAAAAGACTCCCCTGTTTCTATACTTAATATTGTCAATTAAACCTGAGAACCATTTTTT